GCTTTTCCTCCATTTTGGAACTCTTTTTCTTTTTGTTCAGGGTTGCCATGACAGTCAGGGAACCATTGACAGGGATCTTTCCTCCTACTCCCAAGCCCATCATCACCGCCCTCTCATTTCCCCTCAGACAGACTCCTCTTTCCCGTCCTTTCTGCAACCATTTAGAGGCTCCTCCTGCCAAAGTAAGGAACACCAGGTGCTCCCAACTGGTCCACCGGAGGGCGAACGTCACAGCTGGCTTTCCAGAGGAGGATGCAAAGGAAGTGTGATTACAAAAGCTTGCCTCTCTATGACGCCTCGCTCTCCTTAACCCCTGGGGCTCCGCAGGAGATGCTGCTGGAGAGTCTGACGTGGGGGAGATCCAGGCGTTTCCCGGATGAGCAGGGGGCTCTTCCCGGGCAAGGGAGGCGGAGGAAGGAGAGACCCTCCTACGGCTTCCATCCCGGGTCCCATGCTCCACAGGCGCCTTCTCCCTGCAGGGGGAAGCGGAAGAAACGGGATGCCAGGAAGGCAGCAGGGATCCGGGGATCCCTTCTCGCCCGTGTCTGGGGAAGAGCCTGAGTAGGGGGAGAGGAAGGTCGGTTTTGCGGAGGTCCAGCAAGAGAGGAGAGGAGAGAAGCCGGGCGAGGAGGAGGCAGGTTTCGATCCTGTCTCCAGAAGGGGAGAGAAGCGGGGCGGCCTCTCCAGCTGCCTCCTTCCCGGCTCTGCTCGGAGGGGACCTGGGCCCTGAGCTGGGATGACCCATTTGGGGCTCCATGCAGGTTGGGTGAATAAATTCTACTTTCTAATTCTTGGCGTTGATTTTTCTTTCCATTTCAGATACCGAAACTCGAAGCCATTTCAAATCTTTGCAAGGCAAAACATTTTTCTTGGGGGAGGAAAAGAGCAGAATAACTTGCAGGGATCAGTCCTGAGGCACTAGAAATGATCCTGTGAAGGAAAAAGCATCTGGAGATCCACAAGAGTCCTTGGACCCATTTGGAGTTGCTCTACAGGAAAGAGAAAGGATGGAGACACAACCTTTTGCAAAGGAGGGAAGCAGAAAAGGCCCTCAGCTGTTCAGCCTGGGACAGGTGGGAAGCTCCAGACAAGAACTGGGCAGAAGATCCTGGAAAAGGAATCTATCCTCCCTTCAGAAGTCCAGCCTTGCAGCTTCAGGAGCCTCCAATACCAGGACGCTGAGGGTCCCCGAGGACTTTGCAGCCGACTCCATAACTTATGTAGGCGATGGCTGAAACCAGAAAAGCACACCAAAGCTCAGATGCTGGACCTGGTTATTCTGGAGCAATTCCTGGCTATCCTACCTCCAGAGATGGGGGGCTGGGTGCGGGAGTGTGGAGCAGAGACCAGCTCCCAGGCGGTGGCCCTGGCTGAAGGCTTCCTCCTGAGCCAGGTGAAGGAACAGAATGAGCAGGTCCAGTTGCAGGTGAGAGACTTTAGGGAGCTCAAAAGGGAATAGAAAATGTGTTTGAATATTTCACCCCTTATTTCCAACCTTCTCTGACATTCATAATATGTGGCGATGTTCCATGAACAACATTGTTCCATTGTTTTCTCACTCAACCATAGGGTTGGATATTGGGGGCTTTGAGGTTGTTTTCCGAATATAAGAATCCACTTTATTTTGTGTTATGTACATTAATTTTGCTTCTTCCTTCCTTCCTCCTATTTGAAGGGCTGCACTGTGGAGATCAGAAATCCTGAGGGAAAGAAGAACCCATCAAATCCCCCTCAGGAGCTATTTTTCAGGAGTATCCCTTGGGAAGACCAAAGTCAGGACCCCTCAGGAGGTAATGGAAGATCCTCCGAGTCCCCATCTGTTTTACCTTCGATCTCTCTTCTTGTCTATAGAATACCTCCTCCTATTTTGTTAAATATGCATTTTGAAATTATTTATTCTTTACAGAGAGAAAAAGAATACAGCTTTCTGGTTTTTCTGACAGAGATAAAACAGCGGCTGAATCTCCAAATCAAGTAAGAAAGGGAAAAGTTATATTTGTATTCTTCCCTCAGGAAGTGAACGGCTGCAGTGCTCTCTCCTATTTCCCCCCTTGTTTGTACTGGGTTACTTTTGTGTTCTTCTACAACATGGAGAGCAGAATAGTTGATTCAAGTTGCTGTTGACTAGCATAGCTTCCTCTTGTTATCTTGCTCTACTAAGTTCTCCTCCAACTTTGAGTTTACAACAAGCAAGTTTTAAAAAATCCTTCAAGAAATAGGAATAAACGTAACACAGTGGCAGGAACTGCTAGAGACCCATTCTTTTTGTAATTCTTTTACTTTAATTGTGCAAGGCTAATGAAAAATAACTAAATACTCACATGGCCACATTACGATTTTTAAAAACCCTTTATTTATAACCAGTAGTTCAAAAAATCATCAAATCATATTAAAAAATAAAACAGACTGTTTAAATCCAAAAAGAATGGCCACTAGAACATGTAATCAAGGTACTTTGGGCTACAAAATAATTTCCAATCCTCTGATTTGTGCCTCGATTAGGAGAGCAAATATTCCCACTTTGGAAAGGCTGAGAAATTACTTTCCCAGGGAATTTTTTCTTCTTTGTTTTCTTCCTTTCAGCCAATGGCTCAGACTACATAGAGCGATAGATCAGTTGATCCAGAAGTGGGATTACTTTACTGAAAGGCACTGAAAGTTTTGCAGAATCAATCAACCTGATAAAACTTCCCCAAATATTTCTTCACTTAAAATATTTATCACCTAAAATGAGGACTTGTGTGATGCACAGCCATTTAACTTGGTGCACATCTTTGCTTTGGGAATTTGGGAACAATAGAATAGAATAACAGAGTTGGTAGGGATCTTGGAGGTCTTCTAATCCAGCCCGCTGCTCAGACAGGAAGCCCTATAACATTTCAGATAAATAGCTGTACAATTTATTCATAAACAACTCTAGTGTTGGAGCATTATTTCTGAGGCAAGTCATTCACTTCTTTTTTGTGGCAGCCCCTTACGTATTGCAACACTGCTATCATGTCACCCCTAGTCCTTCTTTTCATTAAACTAGACATACCTAATTCCAGCAACTGTTCTTTATGTTTCAGTGTCCAGTCCACTAATAATTCCTGTTGCTGTCCTCTACACTCTTTCTAGAGTCTCAAGATCTTTTAACATATGGCAAACAAAACTGGGTGCAATATTCCAAGTATGGTCTTACCAAGGCATTATAAAGTGGTACTAACACTTCATGTGACCTTGATTCTACCCCCCTCTTAATGCAGCTTATGATTGGGTTGGGGTTATATTTCTGATTCATGCTTAAGTGATTGTCCTCTATGATTCCACGATCCCCATTCCACTTTCTATTGTTAAGCCAGGTATCACTTATTCTATGACCATGCATTTGATTTTTCTTTCCTAAATGTATAAACTTACATTTCTCACGGTTGACTTCATTTTGTTACCTGGGGCCAAATCTGTGGATCCTTCTATATCTCAAGCTTATCTTCTGGAGTGTTGGTATTCCTGTCAATTTGGTCTTGTCTGCAAATTTGATGAGTTCCCCTTTTATCCTGTTGTCTAAATCATTGATGAAGATGAACAGATCTTGAGAATCCTCTTATTTAGTTTACTTTACTTTATTGTCATTGCACCTCTACAACGAAATCAAATACCATCTTCAGTGCACATCATGACCATGACCATGAAAATAAACACAAACACACATCCTTCACCTTTCACACATTGAACCAAAAACCTCTGACACCATACCAACACTGCACTACACAGCAGGATTCAAAAGAGCTACTGCCCTGGGATAGAAGCTGTTTTTCAGGCTATTTGTCCTTGTTTTTATTATGTTCTTTTTTCGGTGTTCAGGAGAGACTTGTGTCCTTCGATGAGGTGGCTGTGTATTTCTCTGAGGAGGAATGGTCTCATCTGGATCCTGACCAGAAAGCGCTGCATTCAGAAGTCATGCTTGAAAACCATAGGAATGTGGTCTCTATGGGTAAGAGTTTTCTAGTCCCCAATCAGAGAGTTCAAGAAGACAAATTATAGTTAGTTTTTTATTTTAAAAAACCACTATTCAGATATTGTCTCCTGGGAGGGAGAACAAAAGGATCTGGCCTTCTCGTACTCTAAGGAAGGAAACAGTGATGTCTTAGTTGCTTTCTGTGCCTTTTCTTGTGTGTATTTTTCCATTTTTCTTTCAACTTATCTGTGGAAGCTGAAAAGAATAGTGCTTTTATGTATCCTTTAGTACTCTGCTAACCAAGGCCTGCACGAGATCCAGAGCAAAATGCTTTTCAAACAGACAGTAGGCCACTTCGGTTTGAAAGATTTTTGCCCTGGTTCTCATGCAGTCCTCACTTCTTAAAAGAATACAGCCCTAAAGTACTGCAGTACGAGATCATACAAGATTAATAGCCTGAGATCTTGCACTACTGCTCTTGTTTACAAGTCAAAGGGAGGCTTCAAGTAAGGAATTTAGCTCCAAAATCTCATCACTGATATCAAGGAACAGGCTGAGTGAGGGCCAGACAAATGCCATGGAGCAGCTGCTCCAAGGGACACCAGGAAAGAAGGAGCTTTTTTCAAAATTGTTTTAGTTCTCACACGTCTGTGCTGAAATTAGCCCACCCCAATAAATCATAAGTTATCTCTTAATTCCTCCTTGGATGTTTCCCCTGATTATTAACTCAAAACAGAGAGATTTGTATATATATAGATAATTGTTAAGAAACAGATTTTTTCTAGATATTTTCAAAGCTTTCATGACTCATGAATATAGAAATCATCAAGTCCATATCACACCATTGTATCATTTTCATTTCTCTTTTGCTTTGAAGGTAACAAGGGGCAGGAGAATCAAGATTCCTTTGAACTGTTCCAAGTGATCAATGCTAAAGATGGAATGGAGAAGTTTGGAATTCAAATACAATTAGAAAGCCATGAGAGAAACCAGTCAAATAATTGGAATCAGGATAGTTCATCTTCTACTGGTGCTCTGATGCAAGATTTTATTGCCCAACAAGAGAAACCATTTAAATGCGTGGAGTGTGGAAAGATCTTTGCTCTGAGCAGTAAACTTACTGTCCACACAAGGATACACACAGGGGAGAAGCCACATAAATGCACAGAGTGTGGAAAGACCTTTGCTCAAAGAGGTAATCTTACTTCCCATATGATGATTCACACAGGAGAGAAACCATATAAATGCATTGAGTGTGGAAAGACCTTTGCTAAACACAGTTATCTTGCTTCTCATAAAAAGATCCACACAGGAGAAAAGCCATATAAATGCATGGAGTGTGGAAAGACCTTTCCTCTGAGCAGTAGACTTACTATCCACAAAAAGATCCACATGGGGGAAAAGCCATTTAAATGCTTGGAGTGTGGAAAAACATTCGTTCGAAAAGATCATCTTATTTCCCATAAAATGATCCACACAGGGGAAAAGCCGTATAAATGCATACAGTGTGGGAAAACCTTTACTCATAGCAGAGGACTTACTATCCACAAAAAGCTCCACACAGGAGAGAAACCATATAAATGCATGGAGTGTGGAAAGACCTTTGTTCTGAGCAGTAGACTCACTATCCACAAAAAGATCCACACAGGAGAAAAGCCATATAAATGCATTGAGTGTGGAAAGACCTTTGCTCAGAGCAGGAGCCTCACTATCCATAAAAAGATCCACACTGGAGAAAAGCCGTATAAATGCATCGAGTGTGGAAAGACCTTTGCTCTGAACAGTAGACTCACCATCCACAAAAAGATCCACACAGGGGAGAAGCCGTACAAATGCATGGAGTGTGGAAAGACCTTTGCTCAAAGAGGTAATCTTATTTCCCATAAGTTGATCCACACAGGGGAGAAGCCGTATGAATGTACAGAATGCGGAAAGAAATTTGCCCAGCGTGGTTATCTTGCTTCCCATAAAAGAATCCATACAATTGAAAAACCATATGAATGCATGAATTGTGGAAAGACCTTTGCTCAGCGCAGTTATCTTGTTTCCCATAAAAAAATCCACACAGTGGAGAAGCCATATAAATGCATGGAATGTGGAAAGAGCTTTGCTCAGAGTCGTAGTCTTACTTCTCATAAAAGGATCCACACTCAGGAGAAACTATATAGTAATAACAATTTCACTTAGACTTATATGTCACTCCACAATGCTTTCTGGCACTCTTAAGAGATTTAGAAAGTCAGCATATTGTCCCCAGCAATCTGGCTACTCATTTTACCGACCTCAGAAAGATGAAAGGCTAAATCAACCCCTGAGCCGGTCACAAAGAGGAAAGGGTCAAATGTTTTTCCAAAGCCCCAATGGGCAAGATAAGAAACAATGGATGGAAACTAATCAAGGAGAGAAGCAACCTGCAATTTCCTTACAGTGAAGGACAATTAACCAGTGGAAAAGCTTACCTTTAGACATTGTGGGTGCTTCATCACTGGACGTTTTTAAGAAGAGACTGTACAGTCACTTGTCTGAAATGATGTAGGATCTGCTTGAGCTGGACTAGAAGAGCTCCAAACTCCGTTCCAGGTATATTCTGATTTTGATTCTGAATTCTCAATCCTTTTTTTTTTTTTTTTTGCTTTTTTGCTAAGTAGGAAGTTTTTAAGTGAACATGAGCATCAGTGGAGCTTAAGGTTATCACTTGGCCTGGAAGTGATGTGTGGCTGCCAGTATTCAAGTGGTGGAGATTCCTCAATCATTTCGAGAATCTCCCTCTGATGAGTATATCCACTAGAGCAGAGTTGCAGGCAGAAATGCAATTAGTCTTAAATCCCTTACTATTGTTTCAGCTTTTCTTAACTTTTCTTACTATTGCCACAATCTGCCTTTACACCCTGCTTTACATTATGTAATGCAAGTAATAACCGAGAAAGAAAACCATAAGGACAACGGGGTTGTAGTGATGCTGAATGAAAGAATGCAACTCATAGGTTCTTTGTCCTAACTTTGTGGTGATTTTCCCTTGCCTTCCCTCATCTTGCCCATCTCTGGACTCACACAATCTTATCAATAACGTTTTTAAAGTGAGGTCTCCAGAAGTCAACAGTATTCCAAATGGTGTTTCACTAAAACCCTATGTAGAGGGATAGGACCTCCTTTTTTGCTGATGGTGATACATCTGGTGATACCTCTCAGAATTTTGTTTGCCTTCCCAGCTGCCTGGCCACACTGTTTACTTATTTTGCAGTTATAATTTTTTCAGTGCCATGGCAACTTTTTTCACATAATTGTGTAAAAAAACCACTACTTGAACTCTTTTTTTCAAATGCAGAATAGTTGTAGCATTGTGTCTGTTCTGAGCTTCATCCACACGGGGAGTGTTAAAACAAGTAGTGTCAATTCTCAAAATGACTCCGCCTGAATTCATATTTTTCTTGCTTCTTTTCTTAGTTGCCATACTTATTGGGAAGGGGGGATTTCTGGAATATAGAATGTTTTCTCCAATGTGCCAGACATAAAAAGATAAGTGTCCTGAGAACAAAGGCCAAATCAGAATGCCCTAGCAACAGTAAGAGGGAGTGTTGAGAAGTTCATCATTTGCTTGCAATAGTAAGCAAATGATGACTTCTGACATGAGAGGGGGTGGACGTAACTATTCTTTACTTATACCAAAAATGCAGGAATTGTTCAATGTTTGTTTTAAACTTTGACCATGCCCATATGATGTACCCAATAAAGTGGATTTTTAAGGGAGCCAAGGCTTCAGAATCTTGAATTGGTTGGGAGCATTACTTGGAACCATGACAACCATTCTCTTCATTAAGAGAAAACAGTGTTAGGGGAATGTGGATGCATATTAAGCTCTCATAGCTAGCCAGCCCACTGGCCAATCCAGGTATTCATTGATTTATAATAATTTAAGCATTCAAAGATCCTCCCTCCCAAATTAGGGATACTCTAATCAGAATGAGAATCACTCGGTGTACTAACATTGCAAATGATCAATCAAGGGAAATCTTTGGAAATTGACGGGGATCAAAATAACATGAAATTATGGAGAAAGTCTCTGCTGAGGATCTGGACTCACTTCCTTCAATAGCCACCCTGAAGGCTCCACAGATTGCAGAGGCCTCAAAATGAGCCAAATCTTGTCAGAAATGGCAGGGCAGTCAGAAGATGAGACCAGGAGCCTCTCCTGAAAACACAGTTTGCATCTTGTGGTTTTTGGAAACTCTGGGGGACACAGGTGGAGAAGCCACCCTCAGGAAAATAGAGATTTCTGTCATGTTTTATTTCTTTAACTCAGTATATATAGTTGCTCTTCTCAAATGTTTGGCACCTGGCAGCTAAGCATAATTGGAAATGCCAAGTAGCAGCTTGTGACAAAGAAAATATTCCTGAAAATAAATATAAAAATCAGTTCTAAAATGGAGAAATGGCTGAAACTCATGGATGTTCCAGAAATTATTTTCCAGACATGAGGCTCCTGGGTTGAGAAATGAAGAGGAGGAAAGTGGAATCTCATCTGTGACCGCAGGAAAAGATGGAATTAACCGAATTGATGGAAGAAATTGAAAACGAATATAAAGCTCAAGTAGCTTGCCTTTGGAAGTTGTGAGACCTTCATCACTGGAGGCTTTCAAGAAGAGATTGGACTGCCATTTGTTGGAAATGGTGAAAGGTCTCCTGCTTGGGTGGGGGGTTAGACTAGATGAACTACAAGGTCCCTTCCAACTCTGTTAATCTAAACATCTGAACACCATGAAAACAACCCGTTTTATTTGGTGATTGAGTAGAGAATTCATCACAGGAAATAAGACTAGGAAGCTTAAGGCCTTTGGAGAACTTAAGGGAAGGGGGATATCATTAGGTCATGAATAAACAAAAAACATGAAAAAGCAAAATAAGAACTGAAGACTCCGTTGGTATGAAAAGATTTAATCCCATTTGCAGTTGACAATGACAAAGAGAGATGCTACCAGAGGTGGTACTCAGCAGGTTTGGACTGGTTCTGGAGAAATGGAAAAATTTCAGCAGAAACTTTGAGTAGTTCGGAGAACCAGCCAATCCCACCTCTGACTGGCCCTGCCAACCCCATCTTCTCTCTGCCTCCCGAGTCCCAGCTGATCGGCTGGGTTTTCTTTGGTTGCCCTGCACAGGAGAACGGAGCTGGAAAGCAGGTTAGTGGGGTGGGGAGGGAATGGGATTTTGCAGTATATCCTTCCCTTGCCACACCCACCAATCCATGCCACGCCCACCAATCCACACCCACAGAACCGGTAGTAAAAAAATTTGAATCCCACCACTATATGCTACATTGGACAAAACAAAAAATTTAAATTGAGGAGAAAGCAATTAAAATCAATTTAAAAACAATGGAATTAATCAGTGTTTTTTTATATCTTTTTATTTTGCAGCTTGACCAGAGAGTCATTAATGAACAATATTTGAAAAAAGTTGCAACCCAGCAGTAGCCTCTGAAACCCTAAAATATGCTCCCCACCCAAAGTTTTGCAATCATTTTTATGTGCTAGTATTTTTTAATGCAACTAAAATCCTGGAAAGCAACCCCCATTGATATTTGATTTTATTTCAGTCAACTTTATACTTTTTCCTAGTCCTCCTAACACCGTAAAGCCTACTTGAAATTTGGCACATATGTTCCTCTTGGCTTCTAGGTGCTCACTAAGAAAGGATTTTTTGAAATGACCATCAGAGCATTAGCATTTTGTATATTATTATTAACATGCTCTGATGCTAAGAAGTTCTACACCCACACCTACACCTGAAATCTGTTCCAAATGCAAAACACAAGCAAAGGAGTTTCAGTTTCACAGCACCAAGCAGTTTTAGTACAGAACAATTGAGCTAAGCCACACCGAGACTCCTTGCTGACTCCTTGTCACACAGGAAATACTGTTTCAGTTTCCAAACAGCCATGAACTCTCTCATACACTGACAGGATGCTAGCCAGATAAATACCGATGGATGCTGGTAGGCAGAGTCCCCCCCCTTATTTTCCTCCCCAAAAACTAAGCCAGACGAAGTTTCATAGCGAAGCACGGGTATTCAAACTAGTATCTTCATATACCAGAAAAAAATTCCCATTTCATTTATGTAGGCTAAATCAGGAGAATGAAATAGTTTTCTGAAGAAGTTTTATTTAATTTCGTATTCTTTTGTTTTGGTCTTCACTGATTTCCATAAGTCTTCCTTTTTGCTTGAGCGTTTGTAATGTCAGCACACACTGGAGTTGTTTTTGTTCTTACTCTCCTGAGTATTCCAACTTGGGAAAGTGGAAGGAAGGAAAGACAGGTGGAGGGAAGGGAAATTCACGAGCAATTGAAAGTATAAATCCTCTCAGTTGTCACTTTTAATTCAGTTATCATAATCAATGGAGCAATTCAATATCTCATTCCATCATTCCCTCTATACAGTACATTGTTGAAACTTTAATCTCCTTTCAATTATAATATTCCTCCAGGCTACAGAATTTCTGCTGTGCCATTTCAATTTTTTTCCCCACTGGAAAAAGAATGTAGGATCGTTTTATGAAAAGAGTACATTTTTTAAAAGGGGGGAGAAAAAACAATTGCAGGACCAGGTGAATGAAGAAAAATTTAAACTATGGGGAACAGCTGTGGAGATACTCAGTCATCCAGGTCATAGTTGTCTCAGATACTTTTTCAAAAGGCAACTGTACTGTTTTTCCCTTGAGGATGATGTTTAGCTTCTTATCCAATAAGAATAGAATAAGAGTTGGAAGGGACCTTGGAGATCTTCTAGTCCAGTGATCCCCAACCT